GAGAGAAGTGCATGAGGCGAGAACTATAACGCAAGTGTGGCCGAGTGAGCAGCTTGAACCAATCAGAGATCGAGAGACGTGTGACGTATGAGTGAGAGCGAATGAGCGAGCTCGGAAAGGGTGACGTATGAATGCTAGGAGGAGCTCAAGAGTGTGAGCCAGTGAGCGACCGTGTGGAAGAGTGACGTAAGTGTGACGTCAGACTACCCAGTGTCCGAAGGAGGTTCCCTGCAGACCTCTCCTCTCAGCCAGCCTGAGAGCAACTGGCAATACCCGGAACAGGTTCGCTCTCAGTCACACCGATGAGAGTCTCCGTCGGCATTTCAGTGTGATCGAGCCGAACAAATGGAGCTGGAAAACCTTCCGGGAATGCCTGATCGGCATTGTGCCGCTACGAGGAGAGAGAAATGTGAAATGGCATCTCTCTTGGACCACTCGACTGTGCAGGTATCGTTCACAGTCATGGAGCGATTTCGCATTATCTGAAGGCTATCTAAAGATGATGAACGAGTTGGTTACGGTAGAAAGGTCTGACGTGCAACTCTGGCAAAAAAATGTGCTGTTGCAGAATTTGGAGAGAGTTTCCCCTCCCAGAGCAACCTGGAAATGGCGTCGAGAGGATGACATGGAACTTTGGGACGAAGCAGAAGTACGAAAGATGAACCTAACTGACATTACCTTCGCAGTAGCACAATGGGTGGCCGATCACCTTGGAGAAGATGAGGCCTACCGGAAAACTCTACCTGAAGCCCCTTGGGCAGGTAAAAGAGCAGGAAACATCAACTTACTGCTCAACCAGACAAGATACTGTGAGTATCACGGCACCTGTAGACATGATAGCACCGACTGCCAGGTCTTAAATGATTCATCAGACCAAAACTTCTGTGGCAGATGGGCAAATAATTATAGGGGACATTGCGGCCGTGGCCAAGCACGCCCGATTAATCCATCTTATGCTTATGCGGCTGCACAGACAAGAGGCCGAGGAGGAAGCGGTCGAGATTTCAATAGAGGACGTGACGCTCGTGGGAACCTAGGCTGTGGACGTGGTGCAACTGGAGTAGCCCATACAGCAAAGAGTGGTACGAGCTCGGCGAGGCTTTGTTTTGTGTGCGGCGATCCAAACCATCTCGCTAAAGACTGTATCAGACGCTTCATGGCAACTCAAGGGAAGACGTCAGATAAAACTGCAAAAAATGGCAAGGTCTATCTGGCGGGGACACCGTTGAAATAGCAACAGAGACAGAATGCTGTCCTGAAGAGGCTGGCAAGGTCCTTGTAGGTGCTATGGTGCCCGATTTAGCAAATTAGTCAATAGTCAGTCTCAAGGTAGGACATATTAAGACCAAAGCATTAGTGGACTGTGGGGCAATCCCTAACGTTATTCATACCCTGCTGTATGAATAAATCAAAGCACGAGGAAGTTCCTGCGAGGATTATAACCTCCAATATACATCCACCAGATTACAAGGTGTCACTGCTGGAGCTGTGCTAGCAGCATGACTCATTCAATTACCCTGTAAATTTAGGAATGAACAGCTTAGAATTGAATTCATGGTGGCAGATCCAGGAAAACTCCGCTTCCCTGGAGGATTGCAAGTGTTGCTTGGTGCGGATTGGCTAGCAAAATCTGGTGCTATAATTGATTTTGGGCTAAAAGAAATGTACTTGAGGGGAACAAACATAAACCCTGGTGCTACACAGACAATGGGTGCGATTCAAGAGAAATCAAATACAGTCTCAGAGGCTCGACAACCATCTACTACCACTCCGGTGGCAAATAATAAACTTTCCACACAAAGGAAGCCTTCAACAACAAATAAACAAAATGCCGGCAAAAACATTCCTACACAGGACACCCCGACTTCGCAACTTCACAAATCAAGTCTAGGGTTTAAAAAGGTGGAAAAGGTCACTGACAAAAGAGGAAAGTGTCGTGAGGTCATGATGAGTGTGGGTTCAGTAGAAGAGATACCCCCTAACCTTACTGCTGTTTGGGTTACTCTTCCATCATGCGACAAAATGTTCCAAGAGGGGAGCATTGTGCTGATCCACGGGCAGACTAGCTGATGGGGTCTCGCTGTTGGAAAGTTTGGCCAACTATTTCTGGCAGAGCGATCGCCTTGCCGCTAAAAGAGCAGGAAACATCAACCTACTGCTCAACCAGACAAGATACTGTGAGTATCACGGCACCTGTAGACATGATAGCACCGACTGCCAGGTCTTAAATGATTCATCAGACCAAAACTTCTGTGGCAGATGGGCAAGTAATTATATGGGACATTTGTAGGGTAATACAAATTTAAGAATCATTATAGGGTGCCACCCCACACCACTACTACAGCGGAAATATTAAATAGTACATCAGAGGATGCAGTGATCCTTACTGAAGATTATTCCAGCCTGAGAAAGCAACAAAAATATACCATCTTATGAGCATCATCCTGAACAATTTAACCAGGAGTTAAATTGTTTTGACACCCAGGGGTCAACTAAGAAATTAGTCAAGTACAATGAGGAGAGATTGCAGGAACTTCTACAAAGTCTTAAGATTGGTGAGTGGCAAATTACCAGAGGACAAGGAGAAGAAGCAGTGAAGATTCTAAGAGAGAATCACAAGCTTTCATCTTGAAAGGTGAGCAGACAACCTCAGGCAAACTTAATCAAACATTAGATCATCACAGAAACGAAAGAAACAGTTTTCAAGCACCCTAGGTCTGTGCCTCTTGCAGCATGACCACTCGTTGAAGCAGCGATCACGGGACTAGAGCAGCAGGGTCAAATTAGGCTCTCAACCAGTACCTGGAAGACCCCAATTGTGCTTGTAAAGGTAGAAGAGATCCTTTAAGAATGCAGTGCGGCACCTGTCTTCTCGACGCTGGATTTAATAAGTGGATACCACCAAGTACCCATGGACGAAGGCAGTATAGAGAAGACCGCATTTTCAATACACAAAGGACACTACAAGTGGTTAAGTATGCCGTTTGGTCTCTTCGGAGCACCTGCTACATTTCAAAATATGATGACAAGAGCCCTGGCAGGACTGCTTGGAGATGGAGTTGGTGTATTCCTGGATGTCGCAATATACCATCAGACATTTGAAGATTTTATGGGACTTGACAATGCAAGCATCCCCAGAGAAAACCAAACTTTTTGGTCTTCAGGTCGAATTGCTAGGCGACTGTGTGGGACACGGAGTAGTAAGACTTGATTTTGACAAGGCAGCAGCTGTACAGAACTACCCCAGGCCAAGCACCAGGAAAGAGGTACAAGCATACCTTGGCCTTACTGGCTTTGTGAATAACTATGCGCACATTGCAAAACCTTTAAATGACTTGCTCCACAAAGACACTGAATTCCAGTGGAGAGAACCACAAGAGGAAGCGTTCAATACCCTCAAGGAAAAGCTGACACAGGGACCTATCCTTCAAGCACCGGACTTTGCCAAGAAGTGACATATTCCCAGGTGCCTCAGTGGAGTACATAAGGAGCATTTTGACCCTATACAAAGACGTTAATGGAAAAGAGGGTCCTATGCTTGTGTGCTACTTTAGCAGAACTCTTAGGAATGATGAGCTCAACTATTCCACAGTCAAGGAAGAGGCTCTTTCTGTCGTAAGAGTCTTTCCATCATAAGAGTCTTTGAAGAAATATCAGTATTTGATATACAACAGTCGCGTCATAGTGTGGACCGACAACAAGGCTCTACAATGGCCCAGAAAGCGCAAGACAAAAATGCTAGCTCGTTGGGTAGTATCATTACAAGACGCCAGTGCTGAAGTTAAATTTATAGAAGGGGAAAAGAATGTAGTGGCTGACCGTCTCAGTCGCATTAAATTTGCCACAAGCAATACTACAAACTCAAGAGACCTGTTCCAGGTTGAACTTCTGGCAGCATGTTTCCTTGAAGAGCTGGTATCTTCAAGCATAGAGCTTACAGGAGACAGATGTGACTCAGACAGGAGGAAGAGGAACCTAGAGAATTAGGTTGGACTCCGGAAGAACTGAGAGAGTCACAAAGAGACGATCCTCTGTATGGTCCTATTGTGAGGTTCTTACAGAGCAAAGAACCTACAGACCTTGAGAAGGTCGATAGCAGATTAAAAAGAGAAATTGGCAATTATTTTCTCGACCATAATCTGCTATACAAAAGGCAACTGGCAAATGACTCTTCACTCAGAAGTGTTGAGAACGTCATTGTTGTTCCCAGGAAGATGGTCATTAGGGTGCTACATATAATACACAGTAGTCCTTTATCTGGACATGGAGAAGCAAAAAGAACCTTGTTCCGCACAAAGAGACTCCACTTGGATGGGTATTGACAGAGACGTCAAGCAGTACATTGCTTCTTGCATCATCTGCCAAAATTTCAAAAGTAGGGCACATCCACTGTCCACTTGGTAGATATCCCATACCAGAGCGCAAATTCCAATTAGTTGCTGTAGACCTTAAAGGACCATTACCTCTCACCGCAAAAGTAATAAGTACATTTTGTTGAGTGTTGATTTCCTTATGCACTACACACTGATGACTACCTTGAGAAGTATGGAAGCAGAAGAGATTACTAGTGCAGTTTGGAATATAGTTATATGTCAGTGGGGACCCTCTGAGGTCATCCTGAGTGATCAAGGCACAGCGTTTAGGAACCGCGTCATGAAAAGATTGACAGAACTTGGCGGATTCCAGCACAAAACTGTAACCATTTACCATCCAGCCAGCAATGGACTTGTGGAGAACCACAAAAAGCAGATCATATCAATTCTCTACAGTATAGTAGACGGTTTGCAGCCAGCAGACTGGGACATACATCTTTCTACAGCCCAATTATCATTAAATAGCGACCACAATAGCTCAATAGGGTTTCTTTTGACACAATACCCCAAGCCCAGGCTTGTGACAATGACGACGAAGACGGCGACGATGATAGTTATAGAGACGACTTCTTCCATAATACCAACTTGGGTGACCAAGTTATTAATATTGAAGATTACAATGTATGAGTGTAAATAATACAACTGATGAACGTGACACAACACCAACAGATACGTATGAGGTAGCTAATAGTACTAATTAATGTCTAGTCTGCCAGATACTAACATAAACAACCATGGCGAACAACCCACACACATCGAACCAGAGGACTTTCATAGAGATGCGGATCCGTCCCCTTAGATGCAAGGACTAGTATGCATGAAAACCCCAATGTGAATGTTGACATTAGTGCGAATGAGACAGATGTACCTTGCAGAATAACAAGACACCGAGTGTATCCTGAGGGTTACTATAAGAGACTGCATGAAGGTAAGAAATGAGAGAATGAAGATTTATAGCATGCCAATATGTACTAATAAGTAGCGAGTAGCAATGATCACTAATCAACAAACACAAACACACCTATCTTTCTTTCCTGCTTTCAGTGACAATGTTCTGGGTACATTTATTAATGCTAAATAATGCCAACAGATTGATGGTGTTGATGTGGGGCTCGGAGGAGATGACGATGCCTGATCCTGGGACAAACTCTCATCAATCCAGGACTGAGCAACCTCAAGGACGATCGACTGCTCTGACTGTCTGACGTAAATTGGCACTTTTTCCGAGTACAAACACCTGGAACCCTATCGCACGATGATCAACAACATATCGATGAGCATTGGAATCCTGGAGAAAGCTATGAAGATGAAAACAAAGATTGAAGGTAACCGTGGACCATCAAAATTTCAGTTTAAGGGATTCAAAGAGGGATTCGCCAGAAGAATTGACATGCTGAAAATTGCAGTAAACAGTTGTAGTGAAAAGTTCCAAGATCTTGCAAGTGTCGTGGACAACTCTAAACACTGCATGACATGATGTGTTGTTCTCGTTTATGGATACACTTTCCCACGATCTGTTCGGGGTTATGGACGAAAGTGGTGAAAGGCTACTGCGAGATCTTAACGCTGACGTCCACGAAGTGCTACATCTCCAGGAAAAACAAGCCACTATCATCTCTGGTTTACTCAAGTCATTTGAATCGGTATCACAGCAAATGAAGAACATCGAGTCAAAGGTCAATGAATTATCCATTGTGTTAAGCGAAGGACTAGAGAGTCTGTATGATCTAACACTCTTAATGGATTCTATTAGCCTTATTAATGCTCACCTTCAGAGTAGTGAAAGGGAGATTGACCTCCTACTTGACGTTGTTAGTGGTGCAGAGGAGGGAAAAGCCTCTCGAGTGCTTATTTCGGGCGAGGTAATCGCGATAGTGTGAAAAACAGTTTAGTGAGGTGGACATTCATGACTCTGATCTGAGATTCTCGAAGTGCAACGAGTAAATAGATGTAGCGCCATCTTAGTATTCAATATTCTTATGTATATAGCCACGATACAACCATACACATTGTTCACACCACACGCCAGACCCATCCCAGTTGATGGGCATTTCTTCCTTTTCAATACACCTGCACATTTCGCAGTTCCGGTGCGAAACACTAGTACTGTGATGGAATTTCGACAGGGGCAGCTCGAAGGATGCAAGCGCACCAACAGAGAGTATGTACGTCAGTCTATTAATCTGTTTGTGAAGCCCAATGACAGTTGTTTCTTACATATAATTAGTAGAGATGTTGATAGAGTCCACAAAATTCCTTCTTATTGTAGTGTTTCAGTTTCAAATATCTGTCAACCATTTTTTCTCATTTTTTGCCAGACTCTGAGAAGGTGGTCTACTCCATTCTAACTCACAACTCCCCTACACTAACCTGTGGAAGTAGGACATCTTCTCACGCTGTTAATGGCACAGGTGTTTTAACCATCCCCGCTTCTTGCAATCTTCGAGCGGGAGGTACTGTGCTTAAATCGCCCCGCACTCGGGACTTTCCCGACGATGTGTTAGATATTAAGATTATTGACATGCGAGATGTATAAATGGTGTAATCAAAGCGTTTGTCTTCACCTCATCTCGACATGCACAAGCCTACAGACAGTCGCTTTGCATATTACCGCTAAGAAACTCATTAAAGCTCAGTCGGAATTATCGGACGACATTAAGAAGTACCGTGACCTTCACGATCGGGTGGAAGTTCACAGTATAGTAATTTTATCTTGGTTAGTTTCTTTTTCAGTGGTGATCATTATCATAGTAGGAGCTGTAGTCTTGCGGGAAATGAAACAGTTCCGTTGTTGTCCCTCCACTTCCCGTGAGTATGCGAGTGCAACCCGGCCGAGTGAGCTGAATCGGGACGATTCTAATCGGCCGGGGGAGTGTGTGGCAAGACCACCAAACAGTACAGAAGTGTGAATGATATAATGAGTGGGTTTCCGAATGAGTCGAAAATTTCATAGGCATGGCTGCCGTTCACGTGTCCTGTGAGTGACACGACCAATGAAAGGAGCCTTGTGTGAGGCCTTGCTGGGTCAGCACCGCCCGAGGGTACTGGGGCGCCGGCTGCCCGGGGCGTGCCTGTCTGTCTGTGCCTATCCTCCGAGTGAAAGCGTCTCTGTGTACGAGTGTACAAT